AAAAAATGGAAAAAATTGGCTGGTTGTGGTGATGTGTGCCTGCAGTCTCCGCTACTCAGGAGGCTAAGGTGGGAGGATTTCTTGAGCCCAGGAGGTTGAGGCTGCAGTGAGCCGAGGCTGCAGTGAGCCATGACTGCACCACTGCACTCCAGCCTCGGCAACACAGCAAGACACTATCTCAAAAAAAAAAACAATGCAACAAAAACCCCAAAATGTAAAAAGTAAAACAACTAAACTACCAAATACTCCAGTCAAGGTAAAAGGAATACAGTATAGACATGAAATTAGAAGGGATAATGGAGTAATAAACAGATACGAGAAAATTAAGATCATCCTACGAAATATTAGGAGCTACATTTTTGGTGGCATTTTATTGGATTAACCAGTAGAAGGCTAGCAAACGGCTTATCTATAATTTAAAAATTGTTTATTAAACAATTTTCTTTTAGAGACAGGGTCTTGCTATATATCTCAGACTGGCTTTGAACTCCTGGCCTTAAGCAGTCCTCCTGCTTCAGCCTCCCAAGCAGCTGGGACTACAGGCACATGCCACTGTGCCTGGTTCTACAATATATTTAATAACATTTGTTCAGAATTAAAAATGTTAAGCACAGTTTTCTGATTAGGTAATTATTTGCATATTCCATATTAAACACTGAAATTGTTTCATCTTTTTCCCTGCTACTCTTGCTTTAATTAAAGTCCTCATTACCTGTTACCTAGACCATAGCCTCCTAATGTGTCTTTCAAAACCAGCTTCCCCAGAGTTCTTTGAATTCTGACCTGTTTATTTAAAATGCACATCTGATTTGTTGTTCCTTTTGGGTGATTCCACATAGTCAAAAGAGTTAACAACTTCTAGGGCCTTTCATAATTTGTTTCTCAACTCCTTTTTCCACCTCATCTTCCTATTTGTGTATCTTTGTTTGATACTCTGTGTTTAACAATATGTAACTGCTCACATGGTGATGTTCATTGTCTTCGTTCTGTTGTTTGTATCATTCCTGTGTCCAGAGCCACATCTACTGCTTTACCTCAACTCCTGTCCTAGCTAATGCCTACTCACTTTTAAAGACTGAGCCTAGGCATCATTTTCTCCAGAAATGTCTGTGTCTCACTCTGAATTAGAAACTTCTCAGTGGTGTAATCCAAATAGTCTACAATTCTTAATCAATTTTGAAAGTAATTTAGTAATTATTTGTTTCATTCTCTCTGCACTTTGTTCTTTGAGGTCAGAGGCTATTCTTGTTTTGGAATCCCCATAACCTGGTGTTCAGTGAGGTTCACTAAATTTATTAGAGAAGTATGGAGTAACTGAAGAATTTTTTTTATAATAGTTTTTTTTTTTTTTTTGCATATAACTTGTTTCAGAATTTCCCTGCACTTTCCGTAACAAAGCAAAAACAAAAAACAGTATTTCTTCATGTGGTTAGCTTAGATGGACTTTAAGAGTGGCTTGAGTTGACATTTACTAAACAATTTGTATATGTTTTTGGCTATGTATCACTAAGTGTACACATTCTTGGTTGTCAAAGCTTAAAATAATTTCGCATCTCTTTCTCCCTCTCTCAGCTGTGAATTCAGTATCCTTAGGGAAAAATGGAGTTGTGGAACTGATGTTTAAAATCATTGGACCATTTAGTAAGAAGAATTCCAGTCTTATAAAGTGAGTAAATGTTTTGAATATAAACATAGGCATAGCCTTTGTTACTCTGGGCCTCATTATCTTGAGATGTACAATGAGCACGTTGAATTAAATTGTCTCCAGGGTTATTTCATTTCTTAGTTCTTAAATAATGATTTTATCATGATAAAGATTTTCTTTAGTATAAAATTTAATCTTCACAAGTATATCAAAACTGGACAGTTTTGAATTCATTGAATATAATGTTTATAGTAACTGAGACTGAACATTTCTAGATACAGTAAAAGGAAAAAAGATTATCTATAGAGTATTCATTCAGAAACATTTATTGAGTGCCTACTATATTTCTCACCCAATTTTACAATCTTGTAATGACTTCTTCATTCTTATGAATACCTGAACAATCTTAAATTGATATATTTCTATTTTGTCAAAATCACATCATTCTTTTTCCCCATCCATTATGTATGTGTGTATATATACATATGTATGTATGTATGTATGTATTTTTATTCATTCCTAGGCCTTTCAGCCTCAGAAAATGAAAGTCATGTCTCATTTATTGGTTACAGTTTAATATTTTCTTAAACCATTTTAGAGTTCTTTCTTTAAAATTTTTTTTTATTGTGGAATTTTAAAAATATACATAAAATAGAGTTTATATTATATTAAACTAATTATATTGAGTTATATTAATTACTTATTGTGTTTAACAATTCTGAACATTCCACCATTTTTGTTTCATTTATTTCCACTCCACACTTTTGTTTGTTTGTTTTTCCTGGGGTACTTTTAAGAAATCTCAGGTGATTTATATGTACATAAATGTGTGTGTATTTCTATAAGCAGATCCTAGATATTTTCTCTTGGATTATTTTCTTTGAATATTATTTATTTTCTAAATACCTCAGTATATAATTCTACTAAATAAGGACTTAACAATAAGCAGAATACTACAATCATAGCCAATAAAATTATTAATTTCTTTTTTTTTGAGATGCAGTTTGGCTATGTATCACTAAGTGTACACATTTTTGGTTGTCAAAGCTTAAAATAATTTCGCATCTCTTTCTCCCTCTCTCAGCTGTGAATTCAGTATCCTTAGGGAAAAATGGAGTTGTTTCCCAGGCTGGAGTGCAGTGGCATGATCATGGCTCACTGTAGCCTCAAATTCCTAGGCTCAAGTGATCCTCCACCTCTCTCTCCTGATACTTTCTTAATACAATCTAAAATCTAGTCTGTGTTTGGTTTTCTTCAGTTGTTTCAAAATAGCCCTTTTTTAGTTGGTTTGTTTGACTCAGAATCCAAACAATATACATGCATTAGTCTTCATTATATTTAGGAAATTTCCACACCTACACAAATGTAGAGAGGATAATATAATGAACTCTGTTGTATCTGTTACCCAGTTTTACTGTCAAAAATCTGTCATTTTAATTTCATTTTCCTTTTCTGTTTTTCTTTTTTCCAAGCGTATTTTAAAGCAAGTATCAGCTATTATATCTGATATTTTCTGATTATGTAGGAAATGCCTTTTTTTTTTTTTTTTTGCAGTTGGCTTGCTTGTTCAGGGTTTCAATTAAGTCTCTACATTATATTTGATTGTTATGTCTCATAATCTTGTGAAATCAAAAAAAGTCTTCCTATGTTTTGGTTTTGTTTTATGTGATGAAAGACTAGAGTGATAGGTCTTTTAAAATGTCCCATGTTCTGGCTTACATTGACTATATCCTGGAATAACTTAACATATGAGTTACGTTTTCTATATACCCTTACGTTTTCTATATACTGATAAAACTGTGGCTTGATTAGATTTGGGATTTTGGTTTGTTTTTTTTTGGTCAAAAGTATTTCATAGGTGGAGCTGGCAACTTTGTTTTATGTCACTTAAGATCATTGAGTTGAGGTGATCTATCCGTTAGAAATGTCCCCATCCACTTTTCAGTCAGTGATTCAGCAGTCATTCATGACATTGCCTATATCTGTTATTTCATTAGTGGTTGGAAAATAATAACTTATCTAATTTTATTTCTGTCCTGTGTTTATTAGCTGTGAATCTTTTGTAATGCAGAACTTGTCCACATGAACTATTTGATTAGATTTTACTCTTAAACAAATAGGCTTCAGGACATTTCCCGTGTTTTCACCCCTTCTTAATAACGGTCAAATATTTTAAAATATTTTGGGAACTTACTTGCACATATAATTATTTATTAAATATCATTTGGTGGGATGACAGCATAGTTACAGCTGCGTAAGAATTATACACAATCCCAGACTATCTGATGAAATGTAACAAAGCAAACAAAATGTTTGTATCACAATCGGTAACAGAATATTAGCGTCTTATGGTGGTTTAGAGTGGGCTCTGCAGGCAGACAGACTTGGATTTGCATGTTAGCTCTATCATTTACTGGCCCTAGGATGTAAGTAAGTTACTTAATTTATTATGCCCCAGTTTCCTGTCTGTAAAATGGTAATAGTATTAGCACCTCTATTATAAGATTGTAATGAAATGATTCCTATAATTAGCACAATGCCTGTATTAATGTAATACAGTTTAGGTAAGCAATGCAGTAGTGTGTGTATGAATGATTCCTAGGTAACACTAAAAGTACATTCTTTATGCTTTCATTTATATGCTGTTTTTCCCCTTAATCGGTACGGCATTTTAAAATTTATTTTTTGTATAATGTCCATGATCTCCTACTTAAGATGTACTTCATGCTCTATTATAACCAAGTTATCAAATCTAATATAAAATGTTCCCAGGGGAAATGAAATGGAGCATTTCAAAAGGATCTTTATAATACACCACGTGGGGCATATCCAAAACCTTATAGAAATCAGTGGATCTAAAACATCAGAGAAAAGATGAATTATTCATTATTTTTCTATTTCTACTTTAAAAAGAAAAAGCAATCTTTTACTTTATTTTTACTTTAAAAAGAACAAGCCATTCATTGACCAAACTTGCTATATCTTGATCTCTTATCATTTTTAGTAATCTGAGAGTCTCTCCTCTAATTAACTAAAAACCTCAGACATCTAGAGCTTTCTGTTGTATTTCTTCCTCCCTCTAAACAATGCTCCACATTTAATGGGAAGAAGATTGAGATTGAGGAAGAGGTATATTTGAAGGCTTATGCTTCCTTTCCTTTTAAATTTTAGGTTTTGGATTTAAAGCTGTTAATCTAGAAGGAAGCAACTCAGGAGGTTATTTTAACTGTATCTTTTTGAGTTTCCCCATAGGTTTGGAAGTCATTGCAAGGACTGCCCTACAACTGAAAGTAGATGTCACTTCACTAGTACCTGGGGACTTAAGCTTTTTTCCTTCACATCTCCTAAATCTAAGCCACAGACTACTTTTTGAATTATCGTTGCTTGTAGTATTCTTTGTGGAAATATGAAGACTGGAAAAATACATGAGGAAGTATAAATTATTTATACTGAGAAATTTTAATTAATTAACATAATACAAACTATGCATTTCAATAAATCTAATATTTTACAATTCTTTTGGAACATTAATTTACTCTGACTTATAAATGTTATAGAATTTCAGCGATTTCTTTGTGGTAAAGTTTTAAAAATAACTCTTAAATAACATTTGGTAAAAATGTACAGATGACTTTGCACCAAACTTGACTATATCTTTGAATCTACTGGAAATAAGAAACTGCCATCCGAAAGAACTGGGTTCATATCCCAGCTTTCCAGTGTTGAAAAATAAACATCAACAGGACAAAGATGTTCTATTTCAGGATTAGAAACTGTCAGAAGCACTTTCATTTGGTTTAAACAGTTGTAACAACTGCCAGTAGGGAGAGTTTCTGAAAGCACTCTAAGATTTTTACAATTTTGAGTAAAGAATCAGCTGTAGAAAGGAAAGTCTTGTGAGTTCATGGTAAGTGATTGCATGTAAGTTATTGTATTAGTTTTCTAGGGCTCTTATAACAAAGTCCACACACTGAGTGGCTCAAAACAACAGACATTTATTGTTTTATAGTTCCAGAGGCTAGAAGTCCAAAATCAACTTGTCAGCAGGGCCGTGCTCCCTCTGAAACCTGTAAGGGAGCATCCTTTCTTGCTTCTTCCTAGCTTCTGGTGGTTTGCTGGCAATCTTTGGTGTTCCTAGGCTTGCAGCCGTAGCATTTCGGTTTTTGCCTCCATCATCACGTGGCACTCTCCTCTTTTGTGTCTGTCTTTGCATTGTCTTCTCTCTCCTTGTAACACCACCAGTCTGTTGTATTAAGGGTCCACCTACTCCAGTATGATCTTGCCTTAACTAGTTACATTTGCAATGACGATGTTTTCCAATAAGGTCATATTTGGAGTATTGGGGATTGGGACTTCAACATATCTCTTTGGATACAATTCACCCCATAACAGTGATTTAACTGCATGTACTTAGCAGTAAGCACAATTTGTGATCTTTCACTGTGTTCTATGTTAGCTGTGTCTTAACTTTGCATAGTTTGCATAGTCTTTCACAAAACTTGACTTCTATGTATATATGTAGAAGTTAATGTTTTTGATGGATCATGGTAGTCTCTAATAAAAGTTGACAAAGAAGCCTTTTTAGTAATGGTAAGAAACATACTACATTGAACGGTAAGTGGAGTCTGCTACTTACTGTAGATAATACATGTAATGCAGTGAGTCTTGAGACCTTCTTAACATGATTAATCAGCAGATTGTTTAGTGCCTTGGGGAGGAAATATTTTGTCTCAGCTTTCTTAATCACTTTTTAAATAGAAGAGATTTATAACATGTAGAAATTAAACAGAGTAACCATAGGAAGAGGGGTTTACTTAGTTTCTCTTACATTACATTGACTTGTTTTTAAAAATACATTTCTGGGATGTAGTTGACATGATAAAATCTGTACATTCAAAGTGTACAATTTGATGAGAATGAACATATAGGCTGGGCTAAAGCCTGTAGGCTTGGTAGGCACAGTACTTCTAGGGTCCCATAAAAATGTTTTAATTTCTTTAAAAATCATATAAAAAATGAAC